GGCTGACGCAAGCGCGCGCGCTATAACGTGAGACTTTCAGCGCCGGCGCTCTGCGGAAGATAGTTTGTATGAAACTGGGTAGGGTCATACAAATTAATTAACCTTTGTATGTATTATATGAAAGAATACTGCTACTATGTAGATTTTGGTAAAGAAAATCTAAAAAAAAAGTCTCGGGAAATCCTTCNAATCCTTTAGGAAGTCCTCGTGTGTTGACTGCATTTTTATTGTTAAACTATAATATTTTTTTATGTTAAGTAAATATTGTTTTATTCTATTTATTTATTGCATAATGTTAGCTAAGAGTTTGGCGTCAAACCAGTATATTTTTCTTGACTTTTATAGTAGGTACGTATGCGGCTAAACATAGCAAAGATGGTGTATAACTGAGGTCCTTTTTTTCATCTTTAAACCAGTTCACCGAGTATTTTAATGAAGAACGGCCTATTAATAGCTTCATTGAATCAATTTTCGTCTTGAGTAAAGGTCAATACATAAAAAAGTGTCAGGTTAGGCCGCACAGCTTAAAGGAGTTGAAGTAAGAAAATATGAAAGTAATAATATTTAGATATTATTGTAATCCGTTGCAGTACATCCATAAAATGATTTCCCTAAATATAAAGTGAAGTAATTCTCTAAATAATGCATGATAGGTATTTATCTTATTTAAAGTTCAAAAATGACAAAACGTTTGTTACAATCTACGGTTACTTACCGATTTCGCTGAAATGAATATCACATTATCACACAAACTTTACTTAACCAGCCTTAATCATTATTGCTCAAGGTAATAATAATGGGTAAAAATAACTATGCTCGGTTTAATTTCAAAAAGATACCAAGGTATGATACAGATATCTATGCATATTGCATAAGTACTTAATATGTATATTTTTTGCTCTCAGAATAACCTAATATAATGTAATGAACCTAATATAATGAATAACCTGAGTATGGCAGAAAGTCATTATATGGACTGGTTTTGTTGAAGTCAATTACCTATAAGTTCAGCCGAGGTCATCTAAAAGGCTGAAATTACGATACATAAAGTTGACAATAGCTATTGAGCTAACCCATTGGGTTTAGGCATCAACAAGCCCCGATTGGACCCTCATAGCAACTGTTGGACTATTGTGGTAAAGCCTCTCCGAACACAAGTTACAATATCGTGATTACCTAAAGGAATAATTAACAGGAGTATGTGTAATTTGTAAGCATAATAACTAAGTCTAAAAGGTGATGTAATTTTAACGATTATTTTTGTTCCAGTTGTTTTTCTGTCATTAAAATTACCCATTTTTATCATCTTACTAGGTAGGTACATGGTTGAAGCACGTGCGTGTCTAATGAATATTACATGCATGAGTCAAGTGGTCATTTTTAATTAAAGACTTGCAAAGTGTTTTGTTTGTTACATAATATGACACATTTGTACATGTAATAAGGGGCACAACCCTATCGTCGTTTGGCTTAAAAATATTCTAATGGTCGAGATTAGTGGGATTTCAGTTACAAAAATAAAAATTGATTTGTTATAGAATTTCAATCACCCTTTTATCTCAATATGAAATAAATAAATATTAACAAATTTAGTTAAATTTTAGTTACATTAAGTTAATATAATGGTGCTGGTTGTACAATAAGTAATAGCAATGTAAAACATCTTACTAATCTGAATTGTACAATTATTATCCTGAATAAAATAAAATAAATGAATGAATATACCCGGAATCGATAATGTCGCAAATTATCGTTGACATTAAGATAACCATAGATTTGGGCCGATATCGCGACTCGTGCGCAGTCCGCGGGGATCCATTGATATCCGGCGCGGGCGCAGACTGACTGGGGTATTCCGTTTGTTGCGTCATACGCGTGCGACAGACGCCCGAAGCTTGCTGACCGTTGCTTTTGTAGAGCTAGCAGAATACTACGCTTTTGACTGCTAAGGAATGCAATTAAAATGTTATTCGTTTACTGACATTGTTATTTTAATGTTTCAGATATGAATCGTTATAGGACTAAAAAGTCGTGAGGGGATGGAGATACACGTTTCAGAGGAAACGTATTTTTAATTAATTTCTTTCTTTTCATATTTTTATTGCTGGGGATTTAAGTACTAAACCAAGTTATTTATAAAATGAACATTAATTAATTATTATTTTCATCTCTTCTAATTTTGTAATAATTATTAAATAATTTTAGGCAAATTTTTTCAGTTAAATAATTGCTTTTATCAGGTTTGAAAAACGACAGAAAGTCATCAGTTGTTTGTGGAATAAGCATATTCGTGCTGTAAAAATTGTTACATTTTAAAATATTTTCACCAAAAAACTATTTGTTCTGATGATAGTAGAGCATAGGTGTAAAAACGTAAAACGTACTCAACGATTTCTATTGACCCAGATTTCCCACTAAGGTCAAATTTTTGATTTGAATTCGAATTCTAAATCCGGATCATGGAGGCGCGGCATGCACCGCCGATGCTACAGCGTCAGCGACTACGGCGCTGACTGGGCTTGTACGATTGTTGCGTCAGAAACGTAGAAATGCTGACGGCTACAAAATGGTAGAGACGATGCAAGTATTGGACGGATTTATAAATTCTGTTCCTAAATAAAAATATAAATTAAATAAATGACCAAAGTTTACTAAATAGGCGGTGAAATCGTAATATCGAAAGTTTTAATAGCAATCGTTGGTCGGTAACAAATCTAACTGTACCTATTAATTTTCAAAACGGATATTTTTGTACAAAGTGCAAAATGCTTAAACTTCCCCTGAAAAATGGTGAGGGGTTTTCCAATCTACTTAGACATAGCACTATTAGTTATTTACTAACTAGTAGTTTAAAGTTTAGTGCTTTAAAGTTCAGCTGAATTAAGTTGAGCTTTTGAAACGACTACGCTTCCTAAAGTTTTTGGTTTGCTTTCGATTCAATCAAAGATAGTAAACAATTTACGCAATCAGTTCATTGACTGTTTAATCAGCCACCTCCCAATCGTGTGTAGCGGAGGCGCGGTCGCGTGCGCGGGGGCCCATTGTAGTCTCGTGCGCGGTCGGGTCAGCTGATTCTACTAGAGCGGCCATTGCGTCAGCCACGCTGCAAGACGCTTTACGAACGTAAATTGTAATTATTTGTTTAAGTAATTAACATAACAGATGTTCCATTAATAAAAATATAATTAAGACAGATAACTTATACGCGGTGGTCATGAAAATAAATGCACTATGCAGAACTTCCCACTTCTCGTTCCGCTGCAATTCCTGTGTAGCCAAGATCTACAGCTTTACCGCCAAAATAAAACCCAACCAATAAAGCTCAAATTATTACTTGCTTGTTTCAGCATACCCCTCTCTGGATGTTGAAATAAGTTTACTTTGACTGGAATTGAACCTAGTTAGTACTCACTCACTACATTAAAGTTAACTTATTTTTACGTTTAAATTAATTATCTATTTTAATATCTAAAGTTGTCGTATCCCAAATCGCAAATGCTGTACAATCAAGTATTTTCACCTCTCCATTCAGATTATCCTAATCTATATGGGATCAAATATCAAGTTTCTATATTTATATTTATACATCTGGCAGCCGTTTTGAACATTCATTGCAACCGCTCTGTACGTTTGAAAAAATCGTGTCAAGGTACGACACGAGCAGCGTCGTTCACATATAGAAATATACATACCTACGTGGAAATTGAAAAGCTAGCGGAGCATGCAATCTCGCTCGGCTTACTGTGCTGAATGGATATTACTTAATAATGCTCATTTATGATCATTTGTTACTCAAGTCTGATCAACGTGTAAAATGATTTGAAAAAGTTATGATTAAGCGAAAATCACAGATTTCATGTTGATTGCTCTTTCAAAAATGAGTTGTTATGATGGTTGATTAAGTCGAGCAGTAGGGTTGTTGTGACTGTTGTTGCTACCCTCACAATAGATGATAATAAGAAGTTTAGTATTGCATGCATACGTTTGTGTTACTGAAGCATGCTATGCGTCCTCTGCGTGCATACCTAATACCACTGCGTGGTATTTTTGTGAACACAAACGCTATGGAACATGACTGTGCTTCATGTAGTGATACGCTTACCTACCCTCTTGTAGAAGCACAGAGTACTTACAATGGATAGCGATGATTGTGATTTTACGTGATTTTCAGAGGCTAATACCACTAATACCTACAAGTGCGCCTCATTAATGTTATCTTAAGTATTCTGCATTTGTAAATATGTGTGTCCGTACAGTTAATGTTTTATGTCTTAAATTTTTAGTCTGCCAGATTAAGTATGTATTTACGACTTTACACACAACATTTACAACAACAGGAAAACTTTTAAATCTATTAACCAAGCGCCTCGGCATCTTGTTGAGCAAATTTACGATTGCTCGACTGGTTATTTGGTACTGTTACGATTAAATAAGGTACACATACTATGATATAAACATTTAGATGATTATACAGATGTACAACTAATTTGAAATTGAGTTAGTTACATTTTCACATCAATATCATCGATTTTTAATTCGCCTATTAAGTAAATGACTATGCATTAAACTTGTTGACTTGTTTACTATGCATAGAGCAAGAGCAGAATATCATTTATGAACCAATATTGTGAAATCGATTAAAAAGTCTGGATCAAACCACTTTGAGCCACTTTCATTATGTTGTGGTTGCAAATCAATTTAAACTCAATCTTGTTAATTACACTTGAATCCATGCAGAATAATGTGAATTTAGGATAACGAACACTGTGCGGTTAGTTGAATTAATAGGTATAATACCTCATCATCTTTATTTTTAATGCAAACTAGCTGTGCCCGCGACTTTGTACTCGTGATAAACCTTATCACCTTGAGGTATAAACGTCACATTCTTAGACATATGGAGGAGGTTTTTAACAAACACTGTACCACGAGAATTTTGCCCTGGTATAGAGTCCTACTGCTGCATGCATAACATAGGAGAGTAATAAAACAATGACATATCTAGATAACAATATATTTTTGTCATCAACGACAAACTTAACAACAGACTACAACATAGATCTTCTCAACGAAACGCCTGCGCGAAGTTTAAACTTTGCAATAAGTACATAGTATTATTCCTGTGAATTGTTTTCCAACATATCGAACACTACCTAAGGTCGAGTACATAGTATTTAAAATTCACATAATCCCATAACTTAGTGAAGACCAAATCAACGCGAAAATAAATGGACGGCTTAGAATAATATTAGGATACAACCATGGGTGCCAATTTTATGGCGATGCAAGACAGCAGAGGTGCCTAGTTTGCCGTCTAAATAATTGTGTCATGTCAATTATTGTAATAAATTCCTCTAATTAATAAATCTGGAGGCGTATTTTCGTAGTATTAAAATTCAGATTAGCATACGATTTCATACCATTTACATATGTAGTTACACGAACTGAAATTCTACTGCACAAATTGTAGAGCGCCTACAGTAACTTTTTATGCACATCATCTTAGTGGATCTTACAAAATAATATTATCAGGCGCGATGTTCTGCTGTTTTTTCTCGAGTTATATTTTGTGTTGACAGAAAATTAAATTAAATTTTACACAAGGCGCACCTAAAAGTTTTTGAAACGCATTATTATGCGTAACAAAGACGGCAAACTGGGTCCATTCTGCTATGAGCAAAGGCGAAGTGGTGGATAACGGATAAGCTGTCAAACAAATAAAATAGTCGACACTAACGGGACATATTAATTGTTGCAGTTTCAAAGTATTAAAATAATTCTTACACACTAATTTTAAAATTGCTTTTGGTTTGACGTGTTCCATACGTAAATGATGAATTGACTCAAATATAGACGAGGCGCGTGGGCCAAGCCATAATAATGTATACTTAAGTGTTATAATCATACAAACTTACTATAGGTAAATGGTATAAGTTAAAATTAATTATTATTACACGTACAAAATATACAGTATATATATAATATTTCAGTGCAAAGGTACTCTGTTAAAAATAATTAATTATTAAGTGTTTTCATTTTTTAATAAGGAGATCAAATTATATTTTGGAGAATGACAATGTTTTTAACAATTGTAACATTAGTGTAAGGTGAAGGTCTCAAGGTGAAAACAGTAACAAGATTCTAATTAGCAATGCTTTACATTTGATGATGAATATCTACTAATGTTACACAAGAAGTAAAAAGCATAACTTGTGAATGTGACTTTGATAAAATGTAAATATTGGCCAGATATGATCTAATGTTTTATTAACAAAATTATTACGTAATTATATAGATAGGTACAAGAATAATAGATGTTTGACCTTTCCAATTACACCAGATTGATGTTTGCTTATAAGAAAAATTCAGAAGTGACTTCAAACCTGTCTATATGAATGTCGCAAAATACAAAATTTATCCGAATCATCTAGTTATTTGGCGGTTTGGTCGGGATATTATTAAAATTTGGCTCTACATCTCTATATTACATACATCGATACAACCTAGGGGACATAGGACCATAAGTCAAGATACAACCTGCATTATACCTGAAGTACTATTTTATTATTTATAACACCAGAAACTTCGGAAAAACTACTTTTATCACGATTCATATTAATGCAAGTCACTCCTTGGTATTTTTCTTTAGCAAAGTGTACGGTAAGAGGTTGGTAGAGTCGCGGAATTATCCGCAATACATCAACTGTAAGTACACGCAAAAATTGTTGGGATTGTAAAATGCTTTTGGCACTAACTTCAATAAATATTTCAATATAATTTTATTTTACAATACATTCAAATTTGATATTTACAGCTTACAGATACAGATATTTATTTACAACGGTCACTTTCAGTTTATATGAATTAATGAGGTTCAGTTACAGCATATTACATTTTATACAAATACGCGAATAATGCGATGGTTGGAACGTGTACAATATCTACAGTCGTATTAGTTAAGCACTAGCCACTCTCACATTGATACACCGGGAGTATGCATACGATAACGTAGGTGCCACAATATATACAATAAATATTTAGTATCTTTAAAAAGATTTCAGTTATACAGTTTCATAAAATGTCACCCCGTGACAATCTACGCACAATATCTATGACAAAAAATATTTATTGATTTAAACACCTAACAAAACATTTGATTATATTGCACACATTTATTATTATCTACTTATAAATTAAAAGAGTGGGCTAAAATCCCTCTCCGCCATAATTTCCTTAACTCACCGCAAATCTACCTGATGGAATGACATGTCTGACGCTTCTGTACGTAGCTTCACTAAGCAAACTGATAAATGCGTTCAAAGCAATTTTAGTGGTAGGTAGGTATAAATTACAGAAACAAAATACTGATAACTAGGTATACTAAGAACTATTAAAAGCATTGAAACCTTTTAGAAATGGTAAAACGATTTCTTTCAACTTAAAATAAGTGAAGTGAAAACAATATAACGTTACTTCCGTTGAACTAATGTCTGAAGATTAAAACTAAAATAGTATGACAGCATGTTTAAACGTGAACAGCTTGCTTAGGAGCGCGTCGCGTGCTGCAAGCTCTGCTCTACCAATGACGACGATGAAGGCTACTGCATGAGACGGCGGACCGGCGCCCGCGCCGATGCAACGATCTGGGATGAGATGCCCCGCGAGACCTGACCTGAACCCTTCCAACGCAACTGATGGCACATGGATGACCCCTCGTGACCCCTGTGGGATGACCGTGTCGAGAAGCGATCGATTCTACTGATTAACTACTAATTAATGTGAATATGAAACGACGACTCGAATTTCCCTCAAGTGTGATCTCTTTATAGCACCATTGCCAATCAATGAAACATTAGCACGATTCATTTCAAAAATAATGTAATAAGATCTATGTTATCGTCATCTCTTTACAACTCTAGTTCTAGAAAAAATTGTTACGGAATCGAATCGACCGAAACTACCTGCGAATTTACTTTAAAATTTTAAAATGTGTGATTTCGAGATGAACTTATCATAAATTGGTAAAAGTAGGAGAATTTCTTTTATTTTATAAAATTCAGTCACTGACTACTGGTAAAATTGGTTTAGACTCTACTTCTAGAAAATAATTTACAAAATTTTCATTCAGCCTACCCGAAATATCCCGTTAGAAAAGAGGGACGTAATTTAGTTATAAGAAATGTTAAAAACCTCTCGGGCAGTGTGCATCGTAACTAATTTATTTCCAATATTCTGGACAATCTTCGAGATGTAAAAAATAGTTTTGCCTCCCTTGTGCCATTAATTTTGTATAGCCTTTAGTTTACCTGCGTCGTATCGCCATTGTGGCGAGTCCCCATTTCAGCCCGTTGCCGTCTTGTTTATGGTCGCCCATCAATGATCATCATTCATAGCTGTGATTCTTTGTAGAGCAAAACGCGTATTCGCCGACTGTTTGGCTCCGATTCAAATGTCTGATACCTCCTCGTTGGAGATCTTGTATTGCATGATCACACATACAGCACGTCTTTTGGAAAACTTCCATCTTTTATTAATAATCGAAAACACATAAGTTAGGTAACAAAAAACGAGAACGACATAACGGAATCGCTGTTATGTCCCAATTGGGTACGTTTGCGACATCCCATATTACAAATGATCGTAATCACACGAATATGGTTTTGTTTCAACTGTGATAATCGCAAGGATTTTACAATATATGTTATTCAATGCGGATATTAAAAAAATAATTACGGTTTTGATATGCTTTTTTACAAATTTCTTATAACATTTGCTTAAGAGACGTGTGTGCGTCCAGGGTTACAAAAGTCTGTAACGAAAGACGCGTGTATCAGTGTTGCGAAAGACGGTATCATCGGAGCTGTCTTCAGTTCAGCGTCGCGTTCAGAAGAGCATGTGACAGCGCAGGTTGGAATTGGCTATTCCGTGGTGTGAGCGGTGAGGTCGACCCCCGGCGTCGCGGTGCCCAGCGCGGCCGGAGGGTCGCTGGCGGGGAGGGAGAGTAGATGTTAGGCCTCCAGGAAAATCAAGGCTGTCGGCTTCGGCTCCAGGTTGGACTTCTTCGCCTCAACCACTAGGAACTCGATATCCTGGAAGTTACGTCTGCTATTACAGAAACATATTAATAATCATTCATTAAACTGTTGCGCAAAGATAATCTCAGACTTTCTCTCATTACCTATTTTCCTGTTTAGGATTATGTGGGAGGCTGCAAAACTAGTGCCAACATAACGCAAGTTGTATAGTTGTATTCAATCATCGCAAATACAATGGGTGTTTCAAAAGCTTATCTCCCCGCACACAATCAAAGAAAGCATTACGTAAGTGACCACAGATGCCGATAACTCTGCAAGAGTCGTATTGAATACAGTTTATTATATTACGCCTTTCAATACTGGCTGTGGATATATGGGTGATTTATTTAGCGGATGTAGAGGAACCCACGTAACACTAGGAGGCGTATTTTCGTGATAATTAGTAGGTCTATTAAACTTAGGAGTATAAAACAAATAATTGATGTAGTTGTACCGAATATTATAAGAAATGCGTAAGTAACTCCGTTTGTCTATAATCGATAGGGATGCACACAAATGCCATATTTCAAACTGATTGAACTTAAAAAAATCGCAAGCCTCTGATAGGTCTTCATCTTGCGAACATTCGTTTGCCAAACGGCTACTTTGATACTCTATTCTATAGCAATATCATTCTTAGGAACCTATCAATTTTTTTTCAAAACAGCTCACACTTTAAAGCTCTTATAATTCTCATTTCTTTCCTCATTCTTATGGATAATGTCCAATCTATCCTTATCCTCTCTAGCTCGTATCCTCATAGCACTACTTACGGGTTTGTCCCTCTGCGCGAAGGACTCCGCGATAAGCCGCGCCACGTCCTGGTGCTGCATGCCCTCTACTCGATGCCCGTCCACCGCCAGGATCAGCTGCCCCACCTCCAGCCCGCCTGCCTCGTACGCCGCACCGTGCTCCTGGAACGGTCGTCATCGTCATCAGCAGTCAGCACACATCAAGAATCGCAAGTAGAGATGGCCTTACATTGTTAAGGGAGTTGAGACAACTGTTAGGCTGAGTTGCAGAAGGTACNTTTTTTTTTGAAGGGACGCGCGCTGGTAGCTTGAGGAGCTTTTCCAGCTTCACCGGGCAGAGTGGCGAGTACAGAAGGTACTCTAGCCGTTTGGCGATCGTCGGTGCGCGTGCCGACGAGGCCGAGTGTGGGCTTCGCGAAGCGAAGCCCAGGCTCGTCCGCGTCGGTCGCAGACCGACGTTCGCGATCGGGCCGTATCGAGCGCATAAGGCGCCCGATCAGTGGCGAACCCAACTAGAGGGTTGCCCACCGCGGTGTTGGACCAAAGTCCAGTCTACGGCGGGCTCACTCTAGTGGGCCCGATCGAGGGGACTACGGACGCGGCCTGAGGACGCCACGGTAGGCTCGGACCTCGGCTCAGGCCGTGTCCGGGGGACGGATAGGGGTAAAATGAGGTGGTGAAACTCAGCCTTAAAGAAGCCTGCAATTTGTTCCTTCCTTGCATGAAGTTTTCTTATTGTGATACTTTTTTTGAATTGGTTCAAAGATTGAGCTAATACATATCTATCTTGGGAGCCTATTCTTAACCACTCAGTTGCTAAGGTAAGGCTCGTGCCAGTTGTTTTTGGAGATCATAGTAGCGTTAAAAATGTTCTTAACAAAAATATTCAATATCAAAGTCCAAAACTATGTAGAGAGAGTGCTCTACTTAGTAGGTACAATATCCATGACTCAGAGAAGGCAGGTATCTAGAAATGCTCGTACTCAGCATCCAAACATGCCCCTTGCGGGATCCATACCGAGCGAAGCACTATACTTAACTGCTTATTACATAAGCTAGTGCTCTTATTCGTTGCGGCTGTGCTCTCAAGTGGATATTTTTTAAAGAATGTATGTAGCATATACATACATAGTTAAATAATTCATCCAGTTGGAGTTTGTTTTTGCCGTGTTACAAATAGAAAGAGTTCTGTAGGCAATGTAAATAATAAAATTATTACTTTGTGGTTAGGGCTAAAGATAAATCTAGCTTTTAATAGTATATCTGCTAAAATAACGCGAAGCATTGTTAAAACAGCCTTAAATTATATGCAATTTCAATTTATTTTAACTTTATTAAATAGGTAGACAAGCATTGCTTTGCGTCATGTAATGGTAGTACGAGTACATTATATTTTCCGGTTCAGTAGGCGCAAATTACTTACATGAATATTTATTATTCTGGGTAACGGATGCTTAGTATTTGCGCCACCCTCTATCGCTATGCCAAGTATCGGTTTTGTCTTTTTGACTGTTATGTGGAGGTTTCCATGGTGGTCGGGCACCACTCGGGCCGCCCGGCCGTCGTCCATCTGAGTTCCATCACCATGCTGCAAGCGCTGCATCGACTGATGTCTCCGGATCCCTCCCCGGTCCTCTAAAAGCGCACCTCCCTCCTCTTTCATGTCGAAACTTCTCGACAACTTATGAGCCAACTCCTGAAAACGTCACTCAAACTTAACAACGACAATGCACAGACATAACTCCGAGTATGTAGAGTTTTCTAAATTAGTTACAAAATACATTAATGAGATACAGTACCTAATCCTAGTTACTATGTATACCACATCCACACTAAGTAACTGTTACGCTACTATGCTAATAACAGCAAGTTATTCAGCCTCTAAATGTAAGTTGTGCTCAAAAATATTGTAGTGTGTAGCTGGGTGGCAGAGGGCAGTAACTCCGAGCACGCCGCGTTCCTCTCCCAGGAACCACAACTATACCAGTATGTACGACTTACGACCGTGTGCCTCTCAGTTACAACAATGTAAAGTGATAACTTGTTATACGTCGAATGTATCGAGAAGCTGTAAGTGAGATGTGTGCTGGAGGCTCAGAATCATGCGTTTCGATCACTCGGTGGCGTGGTTCAAAGTGGGTATATTTTACAAGTGTTCAATGTATTCATGGAGAGTCATTATCCCGATTGTTTATGAATATCAATAAAACCAGGTTAAGTCAATTTACAACCATGAAGCAAAATATACAAAATTATGACGAAATGCGTAATTTAGAGTAAGCTCCGAAAGAAAAATGTTTTATAAAAAAAAATTGCAGTGCATACTCGTAGACGCCACCATGCAGTTCATACATTACATGAGTCTTTACGATCGCGAAAATAAAATATAATAGAAAATGATTTTTCTAACATCACACAAACATTAATCTTGAAACAAACTTTATGAGTTGATTGATAAATTCGTACCTACTATTTTTTCATGCAGTACGTCAGCTCAATCCATCCAAAACAACATTCTACAGGCTAATGATTACCGGAATGATACGACCAAATAAATCAATTTACTTAAATGTGCGTCACTACATTAAAATAAAACTAATAGAACAAATGAAATATTTAATGCGTTAAAATAACACCGAATGAGTGCATCGAAATAGAAGTGAAAACATACATTAAGTAAATTTTCTAACATTAAGCAGACTTTTCGTTTTAGAAGCGATAATTTTCCAATTAGATTTTAAAGAGTTTTTTTTTAATATCGTGCAAATGTAAGAATCGTCAATGTGCTAGGACATTTCGCTCGTTCCGCCGGCGAACTGGCGGGGCACTTACTAGAGGTCTTCCCCAGTACCATGATTTAACTTTCTGCGTCCAGCCACCGAGTGATGAGCGCAGGCCCTCGAGATAGCCGCACTGAAACATCACACTCACTCAGGACCAGAACCCCACGGGCCGGCGCGCCCTCGGCTTGTGTATTGTCATGTTCCATGTTACAGTGACTTGTTCAAGCATCTATTTGAAACTCTACCTCCAAAATTACGCTATGACAAAACCTATATTACCTCTTTAGATCAAAGAGAACGCTAACTACCAAATAACGTAGACACGTACTTATGCACTATACTTGAGTAGTCTTATAAAATTTACAACAGTACAATTGAACATAACAATTAGGAGTAAAGAGTAAATAGCAGGCGACTAAGTATATTTATCTACCAAACAGTTCCGGGGCAACGTTTCAGCGAAGCCTTAATTAAATAAAAGTTAATTACTAACCCATAGATTATTGAGCGCTTTTTAGGTAGAGTCGTAATTAAATAAATTACAAGTTTAAAAATATTATGCTAATATGACTAAATGTATTTTAGTGCTAAGCTAGTAACATACCTGATCCTATGAGCCCATGATACACCAGGTCGCATGAAACAAAACAAGTCAAGTTTAGTAAAGCTTACGCAATATTTTAACATGAAATAGGATAATTTGCAGATCGCATGTACCTATTCCTGGTTTGTTTGGCATAGAAACTAAACTTTCGAGTCATGCAACAATTTAGCGCTATTGTGTTCGTATTGTTCGCGTTGTCGTCACCGCCTCGACTTTCCACCAATTGTACTGTCTGTTCCGACTCTGTCAACAAATCCAGCGTTTCTTTATAGAAAAACGTAGCTATTATTTTTAAAGAAAACCCGCCTTTGTTTTACCTGCGAGGGAAGTACAGATTTCGTTGATCGGGTCATGATTGTTTGGCTGTTTGTTTCATGACGCACATTAAGAACGTTTTGCGGTGTCATAACGACGTTGTACCTTAGAGTGGGTGATTATCTAAGAGCTGTATCTGGAGGCGGCAGCGACATAGCATAGTGCATCTCGTTAGGGACTTCTATAAATAATGCGATAAAATCGCACGACACGCGCCTGCCCCTGACGCGGACGCGCAGTGGGTACGCTACGCTCGAGTTGATGCCACTACCACAAAATAAGGTACCACTACCTTCTCGCCGCTACATGTAGCGCTATCACTATTCATAATCTCGACTTATACCACAGCTGAAATACTTAACCAAGTTATTATAACTTGGCGACAGTAAAAGGAGAAGTGTAACAAACCACGTAATGTCTTTTTCCATACGGTAAATTCTACAGTCACTGCACATTCATGCTTATTTATAATATCTACAAAGGAAAGTAAATGATGTAGTTGCTCCGATGTTAAAGCCTGCATAGATTTACTAGCTTTTGCTAATTTTCCGCGAAAGTACGAGTATTATCGTGACTGTTTCTTAAAGGCAATAAGAGCATAAAAGCTTTTATTCTTTTTTTCGTAATGCCTTGGGGATTCAAAATTATAAAATTTTGCTGGATGCAACCTTTGGATCAATAAAGTAATCTTGTGTAAAGTGAATGTCAGCGGTAGGTAAGTAATATACCGGTAATATAAAGTAATCAAACTATATTGTATTACGTGTAATGTGATCCGTTATTATCGTATAGACCGAGACTTCAAAGTTTTTGGGACGTGACGCTTACGGCACTTTTGGTGCAGTCGTCATATTATTACCTACATGTATGGCACTAGCGTAGCATCTTTGTGAATGTATAGTGCATGATTCTAAATAAGTTTTTTTTAAATAAGAATATCTGATGGAAATCTAGTAAAATAGAGACAGAACTCTCTCAATGCTCTCAAGTCTACTCTCAGTCTGAAATCATAGATAGGATATTAAATCTGATTTATTTGCTAGATTGCTACATTCTATTGGCGCGGACTATAAAGAAATTGTTTAAGTGTTCCAAGCAATTTATGTAATAATAAAATGCGTTGGGAACGGCTAACTCGTAGCAAAAGTGGCTACAACAATTGAGCACTATCGAGTAAGTTGCAGGACCGTTAAGTTATAAATTCTAGAGATAATCTCTAGCAGCGGTTACTAAAACTGTCGAATAACGCTATGTGCAGTTACAATGCGTAGTCAATTATAAAATTTTAAGATTGAGAGATAGGTCTCTATGTTTTATCTGCACGCCGAATCTAAGAGTCCGTTACATTATGCCTTTTAGAAATCATCGTGAAATACTTGGAAATTAGACACACAGTTTGTAGTTCAATGCCGCTATTCTGTACCTTCACCTTCCTAGTTTCACACTGTATCTTTGTTCCTATTAATTTTGAAGGTACCTTAATAAACGAACATGCTCTACCAGACTATGTTATTTACGTAAGTATTAGTGCGAAAGATGATACCGCAAAACCCACATACCCACGCACGTGTTTAATAAGCACATGATTTTAGACAATGGCTGAAAACAAAACAAAAATAAATTCATTCATTCACCGGGCAATTGTTTAATAATTAAACAATGAAAGTCATTGTCGAGCAGAGTCTAGTTAGCTGCGAGCTATGTAAATGTATAAAATGCACTATCTCCAATAGTATAATATTTTTATTTCATAATATTTTAATGATGCAGACCTGCAAGGTAGATTTAATAGAAGATTTTTTCCTAAAGGACATCATCCACGTTAATCATATATTTTTGGTCCAAAATCAAAAGTGCCGGCCAACAAAAAAAAGTGCTGTATTCTGACAGAATACGTCTGCCTTAGCATTTGTTACTATGGCACCAAAGCCGTAGCTCCACTGTGCGTCGAGTATTTGAGATCTAAAATTCATCGACGATTCATACATTTTGAGACCTAACAGCGTAAGAAGAGTTCAGAGGCACGCGATAGAAAGAGACAAAACTTGTAGGTGAATAAAATTGTAGGTACGTAGTGCTGTGCGAGCTGAATTCCACTGTATCGCGTCGCAGCAAGACTCGCATTTATTTAAATCGCCTTGCGGAGTAATCCTTCTGTACCTGTACTATTACTTATTCTGTGATCAAAGTCAGTCGTTTCATATATTTTTAGAACTCAAATACCACGATGCACAGTGGTGCTACAGCTTTGGTGCCATAGTAATAAATGCTAAGGCGGACGTATTCTATCAGAATACAGCACTTTTATTTTTTGGCCGGCACTTTTGATTTTGGACCAAAATGGATGATGTCCTTTGTTTTGATTCCACATATACCTAAATAATTAGTCCTCTACTTACCGTAATAAAAATCTTTCCCATTTAAAAACAATAATGAGTATAGTTAAGTCATATGTATAGGTAGGTATAGATACTGTGACGCTTTCTATCAAGGCTAAATATAACCGATAACGTCACAACTATTGTTATCATCAATACCTACCTGCGCTATTATCTACCTATTACACAAATGAGCTCAGACTGGGGCTACTTACCGTAAAAAGTGCTATTGTCCATTCGATAGGAAAAGTACAAAGCTAGGCACTCCCACCAGTGAAACCTGTTCCAATATTGTCGCAGTCAAAACCATTTTCACTTTTACAAATCGCTGGACCAGAGCACGCTTCACTAAACATAGTAAGAGCTCAAATGATCAAATTACCAGCTTTCTGCAGAGAATATGATACACATCGGAGACCACGACCGAGTGATGGTTAAAGGAAATTACACATAATTGTTCTGATATCAGTTTCATTGCCACTCACTTTTGCACTGCAGATAGCTGAAAGAACTCTGAATAAACGACAATTTTACTATGAACATGTTACTACCTACACATACTCTATTGTCGAAAAAGACTTGACCTTTTATGATTTTATGAATGCCTCACAGTAAATCCGTTTTATGGCTATATCATATCATACTTTTTCTGTGCTACTTTTGCGTGTTAGAAGTGTCTCTAAAGATGATTCTACTTTATGATCTTCTGAAACCGATTCTTAAAAATCTTAGTTCATACAAAAGCTATTGTTACCGCATATGTGACACAATGAAATACTCTACATCCGTGAAAATATTGCAGTGTGTGCAATTTTTGTGAGGTAATTCTTTTTATTCAAAACTCAATCTTTCGCAAGGCACGTACCTACAACGTTTACTTTGTTGTAAATAAGTAGAGTTAACATTTGAAAATCCTTTAGAAATACGTCAAAGTATATTATCGACTCGATTTGAAAGACGACTTGAAATGTTTCTTCCAAATAAATAGGTACGACTACGTGTCAGGACGTAATGACTATATTCAATGCGCAAGAGTCTACACACAAATTGTGTATGATCCACAGTTCTATCAATCAAAATCATATAGCAGCTAGCGAGTGATCGACAGCAGAATGTAATTACAGTCACAATACTCTTTAGGTCCAGACATGGGAATCGTAATTATTGATGTAAAGGCAATAAAGCAGGTGCTCTTATGCCTTTTTGTATTATGATTTCCGGTTTATCAAGTTTCGGACAGATGTCTGCTGCGTGGGAACTAACGGTGAGGGCGATAAACGTCTGGCTCTCTTTAATTATAATTTACTAAACACGTAGGATTTAATAACACAATTTGCTGTAGTCTTATTTCTCAAGTATTTCTAAAGGCTTTATAATACTCGTCAATATCAAAATTCTTTCAAAAACTCTTAGTAGGTACGTTCATTTTTAAGTAATTTTAAATGTCAAATTGGGATAAAATCAGCATTTATACTTTCAATTAAGCAACAAACTGTGTTAGTAATCCTGACCTCTGCGCTCGTTGTTTACATAACGCTTGCTTTCACGCTGCGCGACATTTGCAAAGCCGATTTTAAATCCTGTGGTACTTATAAAGTTGCCTTGACGTGGGTAAGAGTACGCAGTGAAATTAGGTCCGTATGAAGTCCGACTTATATGCAAGTGTTTAATTATCCTTTGGGAGAAACTATACGCTCGTTGATGTGGGTGGTCAAAGTGCCGCTACCAAAGTGGCTCTACAAAGGCTTCGAGCTCGAAACGATTTCGCAGGGAAGGCAACTCAACCGTCCGGCAGCTCTCGCTCAGTCGGGCAGTCTCGCTCCATGCGCCGGCGCAAGTGCACGTTCCAATAAAATTTTATCTTCGCCAGCTTGTTTACAAATAGTGAGTTCTTGAAGACAACAGGATAACCGTGACAGGTAAGTTAAATCTTGAATTGAGGTCAGTGTTTCGATCGCGGTTAAAAAACCACATTTGCACGTCGGTGCGTGACAAGGTGTAAACAATACCATTGTGGTCAGCTTTTGTTTTTGGTCAAATGTGCTATGAACTTATTATGGTGAAACATGGTTTGCGCAATTTGGTTCGCGATTCTTCGGGGTAGTAGATAAATCTGAATTTGGGCTCAATGTAATTTGGTTTTTTAAGTTTTCTTTGTGGGCACTTATTGAGTTACGTCTATATCGTATTGTATAACCTTGGCCATTAACTTAATTTTATTTTTGTGCTAATGTGCGTACTGGTATTCAATGTGTAACTTCAACCCACATTTAAGTGATTTCAGGCTAAGTTACAATATTTTATTAATTTACT